GGGCAGTGAAACCGGCCTGGGGCTGGGTGGCGGGAGGGCCCACCTGTGCACACGGTCCTCATACTGGGGCACCTGGTAAAGGGAGTCCCTTCTTTCCAGAAGCACCAGCACCAGCTGGTTGGTCAGGGCCCCGTCAGCAAACTGGGGGTCAGGGGGAAGACACAGACTCAGCCCTGACACCACCCTCCCCCACGCTCTGCTCTGGCCCCGACTGTGTCTGGCAGCCTGGGGCCGCTCTCGGGGAGGAACGGGCCGCCTGCCACCCCTCCCGGCGCCTCTCGCTGATCCATGCCGGAATCTGCATTCAAGGACACCGGCTCTGCCAAGGCCCAGGGCCAGCGCCCCCGCGGGAACGGAGGAGCCTGGAAGTGGGCTCACCTGGGTCACCGCGGAGAAGAACGCCTGGAGCAGAGTGGGCACGGCCTCGGCGCACTGTACCACGCGGGCGCAGCCGGTCATGGGCTGGAGCAGCTTGTGGAGTGGCGCCAACCTGGAGAACATGTCACACGTCCCACTGAGTACCCGCCCTCCTGCTCCCCCGGGGCCCCCGGACACGCTCTCCACATGCCAACGGTTGGCTGGCGCCTGAGGGGAGAGGGGACGGGATCACCGTGCTGCAGCCTGGACCAAGTTCTGAAACCACCTGCGGTGCCCTCCCAGGCGGGGGGCACCCTGTCACCACGCATGCCTCCCCCCGCTGACGGCTTTGCTCCCGTCGACAGCTGCCGGCCCCTCAGGCAGCACTGCTCCCACAGGCCACAGGGAGTGCGGGCGTGGGGGTCTGCGCTCAAGACGCCTTGCTCCAGTCCTGGCCCTCCCGCTCTTGGGGAACGCTACCCCTCAGCTTCTCCATCTGTACAGCGGAGTCACCGCGCCTATCTCGCAGGCTTGTGTGGCCCGAGTCGGGGCTGGCAAAGAGCTGAGTGCGAGGCCCGTGCCCCGCGAGCACCCGCCGTGTGGCTAGTGCCTGCCAAGGGCGGGGGGCGGGGGGGCGACCACAGGGGCCTCTTTAGGTCAGAGGGCTTAAGGTCCAGGAGCAATCCCCAGACGCGTCCCACGCCCCCTGGGAACAGGCTCTGACCACACGCAGGCGCTCTCCTGTCCTGCCCAGGGCCGTGGGGCTGGGGACGCCCAGCAGCAGGCCTCACCCCAGGAGCTCCCCAGCCCACGCGGCCCCTACCTCTGCACGGTTCCGCTGGCCTCGGCCCGCAACAGGTGCTGGAGAAGAGCCTGGAACTCTGGGTCTCGGGAGGCCTCCAGGCAGCTAGGGTTCCTGAGGGAGGTATCCCACAGCGGCCTCTCGGACGCAGCCGGTGACAGCCTGTGAGCAAGCAGATGCCCGAGGCCGGGTTCAGACCGGGCTCCGGGCACAGGCCACCGGAGGCCCGACTTGGCCCCAGCCCTCGTGGAGACACAGAGCAGATGTCGCCCCGTGCCAGTGATGAGCCTCAGAGGGACCGGGAGGGGCCTGGGGCCCGGCACCCTGCACGGTGAGGCTTTCCTGCCGAGTGAGACAGGCCGGGGGCTTCAGGGCCCAGGGCTGGAGAGAGGTGCTCTCATTGGGGCAGCTCACGGGACAGCAGGGGACGGGGAGGGGACCCAGGGACAGGTGTCATCCCTCGGGTTCACCTGAGCTGCAGATCCAAGGCCGCAGTCAGACAGGGCAGGTCCAGCAGTGCGTGGAGCATCTCCACGGCCGAGCCGGCGTCCACCAGGCTCGGGAGGAGCGCCACGAACTCCGAGGTGAGGGGCGGGCTGTTCCAGGCCAGGAGCTGCAGGGACAAGCATGGCGGCTCGGTGGGAACCAGGAGGGCCCGTGTGGGGCGCGTGGCCCAGTGGCAGAGCCATCGGCTTGGAGCCCATGGGCTGCCGCGGGGAGAGCCCCTCGGTCCCGATGGGCGGGGGTATCGGTCCCCCCCCGCTCTCCCTGGGCCACCTTGATCGGTTTTGTGTCGCTACTCTGCTTCTGCGTTCACTTCTGTGCCAACAAGTAAAGCAACCACTTTCTACTTGTCATTGTTCTTCTAGCTGAATTTGCAAAGACCATGTGGTGACCATGTGGTGACCACAGCCAGTCACAAAAAAACACGTCAAAACCCAACAGCACGGGCGCCTGGGTGGCTCAGTCGTTAAGCGTCTGCCTTCGGCTCAGGTCATGGTCCCGGGGTCCTGGGATAGAGCCCCGTGTCAGGCTCCCTGCTCGGCAGGAAGCCTGCTTCTCCCTCCCCCGCTCCCCCTGCTTGTGTTCCCTCTCTCGCTGTGTCTCTCTCAAATAAATAAATAAAATCTTAAAAAAAAAAGCCAACAGCACAAAGGGCTGAGCACAGCAGGCGAGGCTCCCATGTGAGGAGCCTCCTTGACATGATAGTTGGGACAAATTCTAGAATCGACCACAGTCCAGCCTAGCTGCTCTTTCTCACGGGGCTCAGCATGGGGCTCTCCCTGGCGGAGCCGCTGTTCCTACATGACACATGGACCCCCCGGGCCGCCCCTGGCCCTCCACCGGCATCCTAGGCCGCCTCCCCGGAGGGAGAACGAGCGGAGGCACTGCACACACCCCGCCCCCCAACGCTGGCCCCCCTCTCCGGCCCGAGGACAACTTAGAGTGCCTTGAAAAGATTGGGGAAGCTCCGCTTAAGAATGTCAAGGTTCCTGCCGAACAGGGGAAGGCTGTCCCCGCAGAAGCGGACGAACTCGAAGGCCAGCATGGGGCTGTGGAAGAGCTCGCAGGGGACCCTGGTGAACAGGTGCTGGAGGATGGCTTCCGAGTCCACGGCGGCCGCCTCCCCTGAAACACACCGGCCTCATCAGGGCCCGGGCCCCGGCACGAGGGTCCCCACCTCATCACGAGGATGCCCCTGCTGCTGAGTGGGGCGCTCAGAGTCCCGGACACGAGGGGCCCTGAGGTGTCCATGCTGCACGGGGAGCCCTGGCCGAGCTGCATCCAGCTCTCCACAAGAGTCTCCGGCTACCGCCCAATCCCTCCAAGTCACATGACGTGGAATGTTCTTTGGAAGATGCTGGTTTCACGGCACCTCCCACGAAACTCCCGTGAACTCTTGTGGCAAAGAGAGACCTAAGATCAGTGTGAAGCTTTGATCCACTCCCTAAACTCATCTAAAGACCCTCTTATCGGGTGCTAACGGTCCCTCAAAGCAACCCGGGTCTACACAACCAAGGAAGCAGCGCCACAAACAGGAAGAGGGGCTGAGCTTCCGCACGAAGCAGAAGAGTGTCCCGGCGCCGCGAGGCTCACCGTGGCTCAGGAAGAACTGCGCGATGGGCAGCAGCGCCCGCGCCCGGGCCGGATCCCCGCACAGCCGCGCGTGCAGGGCCTTCAGGCAGGACAGCGTGCGGTACAGGAAGGTCGGGTCCTGCCGGCACAGCGTGTCCAGCACCAGCACGGCCTCCACCAGGCACTGCGGAGACGCGGAGGCCCAGCTCGCAGGGAGCCGCGCGGGAGGCCCGCCCGCCCGGCCTCCCCCGCCCGCCCCGCCAGGCACGTACGGCTTTCTGCAGGTCCGCGTCCCCCTTTCTCAGGGCTCCTGGGTAAGGAAGAGAAGCAGGCACCTGGTCTCCGGTCAGCATCAAAACAGAGTGCAAGGCACCCTGTTCTGGAAGCTTGAGGAGGCGGCGGAGAGCAAACTGGGAGCGGAGGGACGGGCAGGAGCCGCCCCCAGGGTGGACGGGAGGCTGGGACGGACGCCTGGTGGGCGGGGGACAGGTTCTGCCCCCTGCCCAGCTCCCCGGGGTTTATGCCAGGAACACAAAGCCCCCCCCACTCCCCGGCACAGAGGCTGTCCAGGCCCCAGCCCCCCACAAGCAGCCCGAGACGCCCCTGGGGGAGGAGGCGCGACAGCGGGACTCACGTCGCGTGCTCTGCTCCACAAGGCGCTGACAGTACTCGAAAGCCTTCTCCCTCAGCCGCTCCTGGGGGGGCAGCAGGTGGCTGGCGGTAGAGGTGGCCGATAGCACAGACAGGGTGGAGCCCTCCAGCTCCGACTTGTCGTCTGGAAGAGATAACGAGGTGCTCGAGGGGCGCGCAGGCCAGCCCATCCAGGGGCGCGGAGTCCCCGCGGCAGGCTACCTAGGCCTCGTCCGGCCGTGGCCACCTCCACCCTCACTGGACGTCCCATGCAGTGGAGGCGTCTCCCCGCGGAAGTCTAGCCTGTCTACACCGCCGGCCGGTCTGCGCTGGGGAAGGGGTTTGGTGAAGCTGTCTGAACACCCTTGCTGACGTCGGCCCTCAGCGGTCGCTCTGGCTTCTCCCACACGAAGGGGACGGGCCTCCTGGTGCCAGCGAAGCTCAGCCAGGGCTGCCGGCGTCGCCCGGGGCCACACCCGGTCCTGCCCACCTCCTGCCCGGGAACCCTCCCCCCCCCGCGTCCCACCTGTGTCCGGGGCGCTGGGGCCCTGGGGGCCGCTATGCACCAGCCACGCCCGCAGCATGGAGAAGGCCTGCACGTTCAGCCACTGGTCCTCCGTGAAGTGCTGGCCCGTGGACAGCACCGTGAAGAAATCTGTGGCCACCGCCCCATCCACCTCGGTGACAGGGCCCGGCTGCGGGAGGCAAGGAAGGACGGGCTGTGGGGACCCGGGCCGGGGGGGTGCTGGGGTCCAAGGCTGGGGGGGGTGCGGGAGGCAATGGGCTCACAGTGGGGAGGATGGGGGGGCTGTGTGTGAGTGGGAGCCCCGTCCTCACGCTCTCGAGGACTGGGGGCAGCCCCCGTGAGACGCGTTAACACTGGCACCTGAGCGGACGCCGTCTTCCGTCAGGTAAGTGATCTCACCAGCGGGTTTGGCCCACAGTGTCACGGGCTGGGGGGCTGTGACCCTGGGGACCCAAAGCCCCCCGACCCAAGTGAAGACACAAAAGAGGGATCATTCTGAAACCAGGGCAGGTGGCAGGACAGGAGAAGTTGATGGGACCCTGGGGGCAAGGCTGGCCAAGGTGGTACAGGGACGCCCAGGGACAGGGAGGTTCTGAGTCTCCAGGCTCACCTGCCGGGCTCTGGGTGTGGAGAAGAAGCCTCCGGAAGTGTGTGCGACCCCCTGCTGGACGCTGGCGTAGCGAAGCCAGTCTACCAGCCTCTTGCTGAGCAGGTTGGTCTGGTCTGCGGGTGGGGGGTGGGCAGGGACAACATACGGGAAATCGTCAATCCCACAGACTCAGGCTGCAGGGGTGCTGATAGGGCTTTCTAGAACACAAGCTCTGGACAGGGTGCTGGGCCCCCAGGCCTCCCCAGACTGCCTCTCCACCATCCCTCCCGCGAGGGCGCTCCTCTCTCTCTGCACCCGCACAGGCCTCTTGGGAAGGGCGACTACCTTCATGGAGGGTGTGCGGGGCCAGGTGCGTGACCTTGGACACGACCGGGAGCAGGTGTCTCAGACTGGGCCCCTCGGGCTGCCGGCTCTCGAGGACTCTGAAGGCGTGCTGGCCCACGCTTCGGACCTCCTCCTTTTTGTCACCCTTCAAACGGAACACGGGGGGAGTGTGAAGCGATGACCCGCCTGAGTGTGTGAGCGACAAGTCATCCGATCTGAAAACACCTGGGAAGGAGCTGCCGATTCTGAAGGCCGCCGCTCCAAGAGCATCTTTTGTTTCCGAAACGCCCCCTCTTACCGCGTCCAGGAGCGTCACCACCAGGGCAGCCGGAATTAGCCTGCCCGGAGCCCAGAGCCCTGCCACTTCCCCGGGAGCAAGGGGGGATAGAGCAGGAGGGCGCGGCGGAGGCCGGTGGACACCCCAGGCCACCAAGGGCAGGACAGGCGCGTCACCTGGGCCAAGAGCACAGAGGCCACCAGGCTCAGCTGCTGGCTGCTCTGGATGTGGTCCCAGGACAGGCTCAGGTTGTCGGCAGGTGACCTCTCTCTCAGGATGGCTGCACAGAGGAACTGGAGCTGCTCGGGGCACTTGGGCGAGCAGAGGGTGGTCTGCAGCAGGTCCACGCACGTCTTCTCCAGCCTGGGGCGGGGGGGGCAAGGCCACGTGGCAGGTGGTACATCACCACGGGAGCGCCGGCCCCCCCAGAGAAGACCCGGAGCCCCCTGGCCGGCAGAGAGAGCGGCTCCGTATGTGAGTGCCATGAGCACCGCTTCCAGCGGGCGTAGGACGCCCAGGCCCGATGCGCCACGAGCGGACCCCCCACCAAGCTGGCCTCACGTGCTGGGAGCCTGCATCCCCCCGAAGACCATCACGCTCACTTCCTCTTGTATTTCGTGGCTGAGACGATGAGGAAGAGCCTCTGCAGGGCGTCCACCGCATCGGGCCCCGGGTCGTCCTTCTGCAGCAGCTTAACAACCCGGGAACAAAACTTCTGCAGCTCCTGATCCTGGATCTCCCTAAACGAAGAGCAGGGCGTCAGCAACCTGGTGTCAGGGGACCCGGCCACAGGAGCCGGAAATGCTGCCCTGAGTCGTGACAGACGGCCCTGGGGCTGGAGGAACATCCCCACGGAGCAGAGAAGCCCAGGTGTTCCGTGGGAGAGCAAGGCCACCACCTGCATATCCTCCCTCCCTGGGACGCGGCCATCGTCGGGTCACTCCCCTCCCCTACGGGCAGGGCTGTCGGGAGACCACCATGCCAGCAGCTTCACCAGACCCCGTCACGGCGACACCACCCCTCTGGATTTGTTGTTGTCCCAGGAGCAGAAGAACTAAAACCAGTTGATGTTAGGAGTCAAAATCAAGGGTAGCCTGAAATAAGTTGCTTTTCAAAAAGATTCCTTCAATGAGCCTTCCACTCCTGGGAACAAGAGTGAAATCTGCTAGGTCAGAGAACAAACACTGTGACATGTTGTCAGGTGTGCCTACTACAGTTCCTAGCACTTACTCTGCTTCGTTAAAAAACACATCTACCAAGCATCAACAAGAAGTAAGATACTGAGCAAAATCTCAAAACAGAAACCTGGTTTTTGGGTTTCTGTTCCTGTCCAAAAGGAAAGACAAACCTAGGAAACACGGTACTAGGAACCTCTGGGGGGGGGTGCTCTCAGAGGAGGGCCCCCTCCAGCCCCCTAGCCATGGCTGAAGTCCACCGAATCCAGGCTGGACCAATCAGATGCTCGAGCTCAGGAACCCGGAATTTTGAACCAAGAGACGGGCCAGCTCCAGCCCTGGGCTGACGAGGAGGTCGGCCTAGCATGTGCGGCTAGGTGCCTGGGGCTGCTTCTTGTGTTTCTTGTTCTTACTTGAAGGCTGGCAGATGAACCTCAGTGAACTCCCCACCACTTCCGGTCTCCCTTCCACCTCCTAACCCATTTTCATTTCTTACAAACACAACAGTCACACGTGGGATGAAGACGCAGAAAGACAAGAGGCCTGGTCAGGTCTGTTTCTCACTGGACTAACGAGACCGAGCGAGAAGCCACCAGGCTGCCTCAAAACAACATGGGAGACTCTTTCCTAGGATGGTGGTACCCCTCATCCCAATGAATCCCTTCCAGTATATTCTCTAGATCACGAGATTCTAAAAGGCCAATCCGCCCAAACCCTTCAATAGCTCCCCAGTGCTTTCAAACCCAAACTCCTACCGACACTAACAAGGCTTACGGGGTCCTGGGCCTGCCTTACTTCTCTAAGAAGCACAAGTCCTGTTTCTCTTGCTCTTGATCTTCCCTACAGACCCTCTGTCTGAAATATCCCTTGCCGGTTATGTGCTCATGCAGAGCCTCTGATTAGTTGTCTCAGGCTTCTGGAAACTTCCCCTGACCTGCCGCACACCCCCGCCCACCCCTTCTCTGAGTCCCACTTCCTTCACTTGTCTTCAGCTTGCGAGAGATGCTTCTGGTGACTTTCTCCACCCTTGCTTTTCCATCGCCGAAAAGTTCAGACACTAAAATTCACTGCAAATCCTAACTCCTGAACGTTAGCCATTTATTTTAAAGTGCCACCCCAAATCACAGGCTTAATTAGAGTGGAATACCCTGAAAACCAGTAAGACCTAACTGATAACGACTAGCTTTCCTCTCAAACCCTAGCAGAAATTGCGTAAGTCATGCATCTTACTTATGGATATTGAATCATACACTACCCTCAACTCCCCCACTCCCCCACCCGAGACAGAGAGAGGAGTAAGAATTTAGATAGTGAGGGCTATTCATTCTGCAAATTTATGACCTGGAGTAGAAGGTGAGCTGGGGAGAGGTAAGCCCGGTGAAGTTCTGGGCGGGTCTCAGTTCTTCCGTGTCTCTTGGCAAGAACGCTGGGGTGTGTCACATGTTGAGTGAGGTGCTATTTTCACTTAATACAGCCCCTAAATTCAAGTGAGCTCGAGTTGTAACACTGGAGCTTGAGTATTGGAGTATCTGTCCGACAGTGAAGGAGACACAGATGGTGCTACGAATCCGCCAGGCACTTGCTGAGCAGATTTTCAAGGGTTATTTTGACCACAGGTTTTTGCCCTCTTCCCAGCCTTCAGAACCTAATCTGCATTCAAGATCGTCTCACTAAATCAGAGCAGCCTCGACCATCCCAGTCTTTCCCACCAATTGGTCCAGCTCCAGATCCAGTTTTAGGGTTTTTTAGGAAAGTTTACCACCGACTTGTGGTTCTGACTGCGTTTTCTTCTAAACAAGTGACGTCAAGTCTCACACTGTCAGATGGACGGCGGGGTTTTAGTCCTAGCCTGATTCTTTCTCCCGTGGCTGGTTAGGTGCTGAGGAAAGGGCTTACTGACTAGTCGGTAGGAGTCCAGGGCCAGCTGGGGGCCAGGAGTCGGTGGGTAATTTCTCGACCCTATCTAATGCATCTGCAGGACAGCGATTTTGTAAATCGCAGATTCCGCCCTTGGCTCCCCAAAGCCGTCGGATGGTATCAGATTCCTGCGCCTGGCACGCAGAACTCGCAGGCCTCAAGGCCAGCAGGCTCTCCAGCCTCCCGGCGGCTTCATGCTCTTGCCCCTGAGGCATCCGACAGCCTCTGGCTCCCCTCCCTTGCTGCTGGACGTCGGGGTGCCGCCTACAAGCCTCGGGGGGCCCCGCCCCGCTTCCCTTGCACGCACCGTTCGCGACGCTGCTCACGCGCCGCCGCCTCCGGGGACCCGCGGCACCCTCCCCGGGCCCCTCCCCCCAGGCCTGCACGGCGTGGCCTCCCCGCCCCGCGGGTCTCTAGAGCGGGTCTGGGTGGGCTGCTCCAGGTCTCCGCGCGCGGGCCCCGCTCTGTGAGGCCGTCCCCCCGCCACCCCGCCAGGAGCCCCAAGGGAAACGCCGGGGCACCTGGCCTGGTGGAGCAGACTCTCCGCCCCCGCCGTGAACATGCCGCCACCGCCGCCACCGCCCCGCCGCTTCCGGGTCGCGTTACGTGCCGCGTCACGTGGGCGGGGCCAATGGGCTTTGGTGGAGCCCGTCCCACGGGGGCGGGCCCGTCAGCGAGCCGGCCGCACGTTCAGGGGTGGTGCCTGGTCTCCTTGGTGGGCTGCGGACCCCGGAACTTTGGGACCCCGGACCCCAAGACTCTAAGATCTCGGCACCCCGCGACCCCGAGCTCCCAGGACCCCATGACCCGGGAACCTAGGCACTCTGGGACCGTGGGACCCTAGGACCCCGTGACCCCAGGACCCCAGCTCCCCCCGCCCCCCGCCATGGACCCTGGGCACCCGGGTGCCGGTAGGAGACGGCCTGTCGCCAGCCCCAGCACCATTGCCCCACTTCTGGGTTGTCCCCTGACCACAGGCGGCACTGGCGTGTGGGGGTCCTTTGCTCAGTAAGACCTGAAAGCATGACAGACGCTCTGGCGTGGGCTGCATCCGTGTGCAGCGGTTTGCAAGAACAGCCGAGCCTCTTAGCCCTGCTGCTTTGCTGTTTTGAGGCTCCCTGTATTTAGGGCTGTAGTGCTGCTTTAAAGTCTTATTCCCTCCCCCCATAACCACAGACTGTGAGGCAACAGGCTTAGAGAGGGAAAACCAATTTCTAGTCCTTCTGAAAGATGTGTTGGCCCTAGTATTCCTGCCTGCAGACTGCGTGTGTGGTAAATGTGGTTACAGCCCGAACTGGGCAGGCAGGGTGCACAGGAGGAAGATTTCCAGAGGGAGAGGAGCCTAAGAGGAGCCCAGAGGGTGTCAGAGGTGGGAAGGGGCAGGCAGGGGCGAAGGTCCTAAAGGCAGCAGTGCAGGCCTGCTTCCTGGGGCGCACATGCACCTAAGGGGGGACCTGATGTCTGGCAGCGGGATAAAGAGTGCATGGGGTGGTCCTGGGGGAGAGAGGGAGGTCCCCCAAGCTAGGTAAAGGCCATGAGGACAGGAAGTAGGCAGATTCAATAACCTTTTAGGGCTAGGATTTGTAGGACCTGGAGATGGATTTGGGGACAGGAGGAGGGACAGGGCAACAGCAGGTTTCTGGCTTTCCGTGTGGCACCATTCCCTTGGCACTGGGGCACAAGGAGCCCCTTTGCTGTGCTAGGGAGTACCTCAGGTTCTGGGGAACAGTGAACAGGGGAGGCTGGGCCCCTGCCCTCGGGAAATTTGCAGGCACCGCAGCCTAGTAGTGGGAAATGCCATGAAGGGGGGATGAAGCCGCGTTTAAGAGCGGGTACTGCAGGCAGTCGGGCGGGGTGATGGGTCAGGGGGGCCTCGGAGGGTAAGCAGTGAGGGGACGTCTGATGCAGGAGAGGGGCGCAGACAGGATGGGCCAGCTACTCACCTGCCAGAAACCCGGACTTGGTGGACTTGAGACGCCCTGATGGCACCCAGGAGGTGTGGAGGGCGACGGGTGCCGAGGAGTTAGAGATGGGAGCTGCAGAGTGACAAGGAGGGGAGCTGGGTCGGGAAGTCTGCTTACAGGGGGTCCTTGGGGAAGGCCAAGCACTGCGCATCGGTGAGCCCGAGTTTTATTACCACCATTTGAAGGATGATTGGACTGAAGCTAAAACCAGGTAAGGTGCCCGAGGTCCACACCAGTCAGGGGAGAAGCACGCTGAGCCAGCAGCCACGCTGTCCCCTGCCTGCCGCCCCCTGAGGAATGGCCAGAGCAGTGGGAAGACATCCAGGAGAATGTGGGGTCGCAGAGGTCAAGTCCCAAGAGCCGCTGGGGCTGCCCTGCTAGGGGCTGCAGACCTGAAAGGGAGCGGGGAGTTGCAGCTGCTGCTAGGAGGTTAGGAGGGGGGGAGTGGGGAGGTTGGGGGGGGGTCCCAGGGCTAGGAGGGGAGGCACCTGGGGGTGGCCCGAGGCGGCTGGCCCTGGCTGGGCTGCAGAAACTAACTGCAGTCGCCTACTGTTGTCACATCGTCGGATGAAGGATGTTGTCAGGGACAGGAAGCACTCTTCCCCGGTACTGAAGGGTGAGGCTGAGGAGCAGAGGCGGGGTCCCCCCCCCCCACGCCCCCAGCCCTGGAATCACAAGCGCACAGGAGGTTGGGAGTGAGGCTGCCGGGAGCTTGATCACGACCCACGGCTGTGGAGGGAGTTTGCTGGTTCACCTGGGCCGAGGCACGCACGGCAAATCCGCAGGCACCCGCGTTGAGAGCTATGACATCTGAGACCTGGGAAGGAGTTCCAACACTAGTTTTGTGGCTTAAAAGGATGTTTATTAAAGTAAAATACATATGAAGTACACAGATTTTGAGTGAACTCCGTGATCCTTCCCACTAATCCATGGTATGCTGGTAAATGTTTAACTGGTCACCGGGATGGGGGGGATTGGGGGGGGCGAGGGGCTGACCTGTAGCATTTCATGATTTCCGTGTACAAATACCCCGCAAATGGCAGATTTCAGGCTGCCCACGTGACGTCACTGCACCGCCGGGAGAGCCGCAGAAACCGAACGGACACGGGGCATAGGAATGACCCCGAGAGCAGAGGTAGAGTCAAACAATAGTAAGAGATGAACTGCGTACTTACCACCTTCGTTTTTAATGTAATGGATTTCACTGTAAGTTTATATCATTAAAATTTGAAGAATGACTTTAGCAGCTGGCTGCCCAAATTCCTGAAAATGTAGCAAGCCGCTCTGGCAAGCTGACCCCGGCCCAGCCCTCCCCGCTGGCTCCCGGCGCCTCCTGTTATCACCACGGGTCAGTTCTGCCTGTTTGCACTTCACCCAAACGGGGCCCTGCAGCGTGGAGCCTCCTCTGTGGCTCCTTCCCCTGACACCCGTGAGGACCACAGGGACTTATCAGCACTCGGCCATCCTGCTGTCGGTGAACCCGCGGTCTGTCTCCAGCTTCGGCAACCACAGACGTGGCTGGACGTGCAGTCGGTCCGCGGTGCCCCGCTTCGGTACTAGCCCGGCTTCACCTCTGAGAACAGAGCTGTGTGCCAGGCCTATGCTCTCTCCGCCCGCCCGCACGCACGCACGCCCCAAGCCTCTTCCCAACAGTAACGATACGTGACGGTTTCTCACAAAATTCTCGTTTGTGTAAGATGTTATCTCGAGGTCTGATTTTTACTATCTTTCTGTTTATATTTTAAGTGGGCTCCATGCCCAGCGTGGGGCCCATCGTGGGGCTCGAACTCACGACCCTGAGATCACGACCTGAGCCAAAATCAGGAGTTGGACGCTTAACGGACCGAGCCACCCAGGCGCCCCAATCTTAAGGTCTTAACTAGTGAGAAATGGTTGTCTCAGTCAAAACCAAAACTGAAAAAGCTGCACATTTCAGAAAGATGCTAACTGGCCATCATAGCTCTTGACACTTAGCATCCTCACTGTTGCTTGTTATTTATTTGGCCAAATCCTCACACGTCCTGTTACTGGTGCGGGAAGGCTTACCATTAGACTTGTACGGTGTCCGTGGGGTAACGTGAAGGACAGCCGTGTTCACACGTCTGCTACAGCCACAAACCCTGGAAAAGGCCAGTGACTGACGCTCCAAGAGGTGACGAGCGACAGGCCCACGGACTAGAGAACCTTGACCAAAGGTGCGTGTGTGACAAGTGCACACTTCTCTGAGATCCACGTCCAGCAGAGGCACACTTCTTCGTGCGATGATTTAATCGTAAAGCCGGTGGGCGCCACAGAGAGGGGGTTTCACCACAGCCGATGTGCCCTGGGCCACGTGATGCACAGAACACTGCGAGGTGGGGGCACCCGTTCTGTGGATGAAGACATGGAGCTTCTTGCAGCTTAAAGGCCTCCCCCCCCCCCCCGCCGCCAGACTTTGAACCAAGTCTGACTCCGGCCTGCGGGCAGACCACCTCTGCCTCGCGGCCCTCCACTTTGCCCTCAGTACCCAGAACAATCAAGACCTGAGAGACATCACACAGGGGCAGTAAGTCTTACGTAGCCGAGTGCCGGCAGCAGGGACCCCCAGCTCTCTAGGGTCTGCTTTGGGGGGTGCACAGGCGCAGCCACCCGGGACATCCCCCAGCTGAGCTGTTGGTGCCCAGGAGAGGGGCGAGGCTCCACTGGCCAGGGGCAGAGGGGAGTGGTGTTCCCGTCCCCGGGGCTGCAAACACCCGGATGCAGGAAACTCACTGAGGCTCGGTGAGGCCAGGAAATCACGGCAGCTCCCGTCAATTCGCGCCCTTCCCAGGAGTGGGCTACTGAGCACAACGGGAGAACGCGCACCTTCCCCAGCAGCGGCCCCTCGGGTCAGGCGCCCCCTTGTCCAGGGAGCGCACGGGGGCTGCGTGTCCAGGCCATCTGCCCATCCACCCGTCGGTCCCCCAGGAGCCACTCCCAAGGACCACACGGAGCCCCGGGCTCATTTCTGTAATATATAATTTTATTTCTGGTTATACAAACAAATGCTAAGAGGAGAAACCGAACTTCCCCATCCACATACAACAAATTTTAATAGATAAAAGAACAGTTAAAATAAATGAAAAACAAAAAGTAGAAATTTTTAAACTTTGTTATAGCTTTAAAACATTAATGTCGGATACAATTAGAAATCACATTCAGATCTCAAACTTTTAAAAAAAAGTATGGCTCCTTATTAAAAAAATACTGTATCCCATTTGAAATGAAAACGCAGGCGGGCCCAGCTGCTGTGGGCCTCTCATCTTTCTGAGGATGGGACTGCTGGTTCCCTGCCGCCTGCGGGGCGTCTGGGCGCCCCCGGGCTTCCCGCGGACCGACGTGCGCACAGGTGGCGGAAGCCGGCAGCATGGCGGGGCCTCTGATCCCATGAGCTAGTTTCCACTGTCTGGGGTACCACTGCTTTTAAAGCACTGATTATCACATGTACTGTGGAAAATACTTTAGACAGCCACTGTAAGAAAACACGCTCTCACACACGCGCACACACACCCCCCTAACACCCGCCCCCCGAATGATCTTTACAGGAGAATTGCCAACAGGTAAGGAAAAAAAAAAAAAGCTCGCGTGG